TGGGGGGAGGGGGGAAGGAGGGTTGGGGGCTGCAGCTGGTGCCCAACCAGCTATTTCTCCAGGTTGGCCAGACCCACCCAGAGCCCCCCAGAGCAGGGTGGGAGGAGGACATCTTTGTTGGTGGGGTCAAGGTAGGCAGAGTGGACGGAGGGTTATGGTTTAGGGCTCCGGAGTTAAGCTCTGGCTGTGCCACCCTACCAGCTGTGTAACCTTGGACAAGTGACTTCTCCTTGAACCTCAGTTTTCTCCTGTGTGAAGTGGGGACAGCATAGCCAGTTGTGAAGCACTTGGTACAGTGCCTGGCGCACAGTCAGCCTTAATAAATGGTGGCATTTTTTAGGTGGGAGGTACTAATCATGTGTGGCATCTGATGCCAGGCTGAGGAAATGAGACATAGGGGAGGGGCACTGTCCCCAGCTGTTGGTGCCCTGAGCCTGTGAGAGCACTAAGGGAAGCAGGGCACGATAGTGTAGAGTGTGGGTGACAAGGGTCCAGTGGAGGAGCTCAGGCAGGAGGTAGTACCTGGACCAATGCTGGGAGGTGTGACAGTCTTAGTGTGTACCTAAGATTTTGGTTATTCTTCACCACATAGTGAAGGTGTTGCATATACAAGGGTACTTCAAAAAGTTCATGGAAAAATGTAATTAAAAGATAATATGAATCTTTCCATGAATGTTTTGAGATCCCCTCATATGTATGTATAAACATGACATCAGTTGACAAGGAAAAAAATAAGGCAACCATAAACTCCCAGAAAACTAAAAAGCCACCCTAGACCCGATGATGCTAATATGCTACAATTTTGAGCAACTGTCACAGTGTAAGAACCAGAGTTTTTTTTTGTTGTTGTTGTTGTTTTTTAAAAGATGACCAGTAAGGGGATCTTAACCCTCGACTTGGTGTTGTCAGCACCATGCTCACCCAGTGACCAAACTGGCCATCCCTATATGGGATCCGAACCTGTGGCCTTGGTGTTATCAGCACCACACTCCCCCGAGTGAGCCACGGGCCGGCCCCAGAACCAGAGTTTTAAATATACATACTAATGAGATTTGTATGGAGCTCAAAAACAATATTCTGTTTCCTTTTGGCAATTTGATCTCACTCCTTTGATTTGTAATGTTTCTTTTTTGAATAACTTGTTTTATTAGCTAGATTTTTTTTTTTTTTTAGCAGAGAAGGTATGATAGACCTTTCTTTTTTTTTTGCTCAACGTTATATCTTTGAGCTCTATTGATTCCTTTTGCTTGCTGTTTAGGTTTTCACCACATTCATTACCATGATAATTATGGATGGGCATTTAGATTGTTCCTAAATTTTTTGTTTCAATGAACAAAAGAAGATTTGAAATCAGACTTCCAGAAATGAAATTGCTGGGTCCCAAAGCAGGCACATTTTACATTCTGATAGCTGTCACCAATTTGTCCTCTAAAGAGGTTGTTTCCATTGGCAATCCTGCCAGCAGTGTCTAAAATCCCTAAAAATAGACTTTCTGAAAACATTCTGCCTGTGTCCCTGGCGTAGTAATTCCAGAGGGAGGAGGTGAGCAACTGGCCCCAGGATTCACATGAGGTCAAACGCATCAGCCCTGGTGTGAACATTTGGTTTTTTCCTGAAAACAATGTGTCATGTCAATAGGAAATTTTGTGCATGAATCTCTCTGAATTCCCTCAGAGGGTCATCACAAAATCAGGCTTCTGTTTTAACCCCCACTCCTAAATGAAAAACAATCAATTTGGTTTTATTTGTTTGTTTGGCTGGAGAAGGGAAAACTGTCATGAGGACAACTCTGTGTCTCTTCCTGAAAATCAGCACTGAAATCCCCATGGAGACCTGCGAAGTTTTAAAAAATTGCACAGGATTTCATGAAGGTCCTTGAGGAAGTGATATTCTGGTGAAGAAATATTTCAGTGAAGTTCAGAAAACCCTCTGCTTTCACATCACTGTGTTTGCTTTTTGGTTAAATTGAAGTGAAATTAAGTTTTGTGCTTTTAGAGGTGACAGGGGGCAAAGAGAGTCCCTTGGGTTGGGGGGAGCCTGTGCTGTCTGGACTCTGTGATCCCTGTTGAAGAATGGGGACCCCTTTCCTTGCCTGGGACTAGGTAGCTGGTGAGGTCAGGTAGCTGCTGTCCCAAGTGCTCCCTGCCCACAGCTGGTCTGGGGCTTCCCATTTCCACTCCCCACCCCTGTCCCTGCAGCCATGAGAAGGGGTCTCCAGAGTAAGCACAGATAGGGGAGTTACCGCAGAGGGTGCACTGGGGACAGGGGTAGACACATAGAGAGACAGAGAGACCCTTAGAGACAGAGAGACCAATAGAGACCCACAGTGATAAGTAGAAAGGTAGAGATGGGCAGGCAGGGGCTGGCCCTGTGTGGTGGCCCTGTGGGTGGGAGGTAGGTGGGGTCCAGGAGGCAGATCCCACCAAGGAGTGCTGGAGCCTCAGTGCAGCCTGGGGCCTGGGCCTGTTCTCACCAAATCACCCCAAATCCTTACCTACTCTCTGCCCTGTGACCTCTCTGGGATTCAAAGCCCTCAGCCTCAAATCCTTCCCTCTCCAACCTTCTCTGACACCAGCTCTGACTGCACACTTCCTACTCACACACCTGCCATGGCTCCCTATTACCCTCCATCCCCAGAACTGATCTTCAGGGATCTCAAAGTTATGGCCAAGATGGAGCCAACAGAATAAGTGAAAGATAATGACAATGATTTAGGTCCCATGTGAAAACTTCTAACCTGCGCTATCTGCTTTTGTAAACGGGCTTGCTCTAACTTAACAACAGTGAAGCCATCTTAAAAGCTGTTACAGCAAGACACACCTTGCTCCCCCTCCCCCAGGCCAGCTAGACACACAGGATGTTCTGCTAGCTTGCAAGAGGTGAAAGATGTAGGTTGCGGAAAAGCATAAAACTTTCCACATAAGCATGTTCTCTAAGGAACCTCTGGGTAGGGGTCTTATCACACCTGGGTAAGTGGGGCAAGAAGTGTGGTTGCTTGAGGAGGGGTCTCTGAGAATTGGTCTACTTCTCCCCTACACAGGAAGAGCTCAGAGCTGACAGCCTGTGGTTTTCTTGCTAACACAGGCACAGGCTTGTAACCACAGAGCTATGAGGTACAGAAGTACTTAGCTGATTTTATGTCTCTACATAGCTAAGTCAAACCAGCAGATGGCCAAGTGTTTACCAGTAAAGAAGTCAGAAGGGGAATCACCTAGAGACGGATGGGTGCCAACCAATGAGCTTTAGGGTCACTTAAGTTAGCCAATAAAGACTGCTTATGGCTTTGTCTCCTGGCTGCCAAAAAAGTTGCCCCTAAAAAATGTATAAAAAGACAGCTAAAAAGCCTAACGGGGTCTCACCCCAGCTTGGTGGTGAGAACCCAACGCGTTGGAAATAATAAACCTCTTGCTAATTGCAGTGCT